TTACGAGGATTCCCCTAGTAACAGCGAGCGAACCGGGAATAGCCAACTTGAGAATCGGGCGACCCCGTCGTCCGAATTGTAGTCTGGAGAAGCGTCCTCAGCGGCGGACCGGGCGCAGGTCCACTGGAAGGTGGCGCCATAGAGGGTGAGAGCCCCGTTGTGCCCGGACCCTGCCGCACCACGAGGCGCTGTCGGCGAGTCAGGTTGTTTGGGAATGCATCCCCAATAGGGCAGTAAATTCCGTCCAAGGCTAAATACGGGCAAGAGACCGATAGCGAACAAGTACCGCGAGGGAAAGACGAAAAGGACTTTGAAAAGAGAGTCAAAGAGTGCTTGAAATTGTCGGGAGGGAAGCGGATGGGGGCCGGCGATGCGCCTCGGTCGCATGCGGAACGGCGAGAGCCGGTCCGCCAATCGACTCATGGCGCGGACCAGCGTGGATTGAGGCGGCGGCTAAAGCCCGGGCAGTTGATATGCCCGCGGAATGCCGTCGCCCCGATTGTGGAAACCAGCACGCGCCCCTACGGCCTACCTCGGTGATGAAGATCGTGTGTTTCGATTGCCGATATGCCACAAACCAGTGCCATGAATCCCCGATAGTTGCCTAGAGGTTCACAAACCGCACCCCTCTAAACGAATAAAATTGCAATAGAAATCTAAAAGAAATCTAAGACAAAGTGTTTGAACAAAAGTTCGGATTTTTATTGATAAATTTCATGATGAAAAATAACATGGGGAAGGGGCCTTTATATAGGCACAAAATATATCTAGTCCTAATCTACTTAGGGATTTATTAAAGCAATAAAATATTAGAAATCCTAATTAAGCTAGAAATTATTTAGCAATAAGGAAACTAAATAACTTGGCTTGCACTCCAAGTTGGGAAGAAAGATCTAGGGAAAATTCAGCTCAAAAAGCCTTCTAGAAGTCCCTTTTCCTTGCTGGCCAAGTCAGCCCGCGCGCTGCCCCTGGCTGCTGCTCGTGCGCGTTGCTGCCCTGCGTGCGCGCGCAGGCTACTTGATTAAGATCGTGTGTTTCGACTGCCGATAAGCCGCTAACCCGCGCCTTGAATCGCCGATAGGTGTACTTCGAGCCACAACAGCGCCTCTTGGAATGATAAAATTGCAATAGTATTTTGGTGAAAAGACTAAAGCAAAGTTAGAAGAACAAAGTTCTAGATTTCTATTAATTTCTTGGATGATTGAATGACTAAGAATAACATGGGGGAAGGGCCTTTATATAGGCACAAAATTATATCTAAGCCTAATCTACCTAGGGATCAAATAAAGCAATAAAATATTAAATGTCCTAATTATAATGCTAGTTCGAAACTAAATCTCTTGGTGTGCACTCCATGTCTTCCAACCGCCTCTCTCTCTCTCTCTCCTACGCGTGCGCAAGTCGGCCACCGCCTCTCGTCTTGCCCTAGTCCTCGAGGACTAGGGCGCCGCCTCCCTCGCGCGTGCATGCCCGCATGCCGTGTCACGCACGCCTTCGCTGCCAGCTGCCTCATCATGCGCATGGTGCCCCGCCAGTCCGCATTCCTCGAGGCATGCGGCATCCAGCTCCGCGCGTGCCTGTTCGTCATGCGCGCTCCGCGCGCCCCGCTCGTCCACCCCTGCTGTGCGCGCGTCTCCGCCAATCGCCAGCGTACTGTCAGTGCTTGCACCCTTCGCTTCACGCGTACTGCTGCCGCGCTACGCGTACGCGGCGCGTACTTGCCGCGCCCCATGCCCATCTGTGGTGTGCGCCTGTCGCACCCATCGTCCGTACTCCCGCGCGCTGGCCATCTTTGCTTGTCCCGCGCGCACTACGCTCCAGTGGGCGTACCTCTGCCGTCTCTCGGGCCAGCCTTTTGTGTGCGTGGTATGCCCGGCTCGCAGCGTTCTTGAGCCGCCTAGCCACTTCCGCATCATTCTCGTCCCCTTCAAGTGCTTCCTTGTCCTCAAGGATGAAATTCGGGAATTGATCACGCATTTCGTCAAGATCCTCCCACGTGGCTTCCTCGGATGGCAACTCTTCCCAGTTAACTAGTACTTCCCAACGATAGCGCCCTGCTCTCTTTATGTTACGGTACTCAATCGCTCGTTTTGGTCGTACTATGACCCTACCATCGGTTGCAGTTGCTGGTAACTCCTCACAATACTTCTGTGCTTCTCCCAAACTCCTCTTGAGTTGTGAGACATGGATAACTGGGTGAATTTGTGAACTTTCCGGTAACTCTAGTCGATATGCTACCTGACCAATGCGCTTCAGAATCTGATAAGGCCCGTAATAACGAACGCCTAGTTTAGTTGCGGCTCTTTGTGTTGTTTTGCGCTGTCTGAATGGTCGTAGCTTCAGGTAGACATATTCACCTGGTGCAAATTTTCCTCACGCCTTTTCCCATCTGCGAAGGCTTTGGTTTGATTAATTGAGCCTTCGAGATTTTTCTTCAATTCTCGCAACATCAGATCCCGTTCCTCTAGCTCTCGACCAACCTCGTCGTTGACTGTACTCCCCTCCGAATAATTGGTCAGTGTTGGGGGTTTTCGCCCGTATACCAACTCAAATGGCGTCATCTTGGTCGACTTGTGGTAAGTGGTGTTGTACCAATACTCAGCTCAAGGCAAAAAGTTTCCCACCGCTTCGGGAATTGATGGACGTAGCATCTCAAATACTGCTCAAGAGTTCGGTTGGTTACCTCCGTTTGTCCGTATGTCTATGGGTGGTAAGCTGAGCTCATAGACAACTTAGTCCCTTGCAACTTGAAGAATTCAGACCAAAAGCTGCTCATAAAAATCCAGTCTCGATCAAAGACGATGGATCGAGGTGCTCCATGCAGTTTCATCACGTACTCCACAAATAACCTGGCAATCGACTTCGCGGTGTAAGGATGGGTAATGGGTATGAAGTGAGCATACTTCGTGAGACGATCCACTACGACCATAACACCGTCAAATCCATTAGAATTCGGTAACCCCTCGATGAAATCCATAGTAATGTCTTCCCAGATTGCCTCGGGTACCGGTAGAGGTTGCAACAGCCCGCTCGATCGTCGTGAGTCAGACTTAGTGCACTGACAATCGTCGCACCGTGCTATGTAATCTCGGACGGTATTCTGTTGTCCGGGCCAGAAGAAAGTGTTGGCTATTCTCATCCACGTGTGATAGATACCTGAGTGGCCTCCAATTTTAGAGTCGTGGAAGTGCTGCATGATCTGCTCACGTAACTGCCCACTGTCGGGAACGAATACTCGGCCTCGGTGTAGGAGCAGACCATTATGCAACTCGTAGTCGATAGCAATTGTCTTACCTGCTTCTATCGATTTGTGCAGCTTCTGGCAATAGGTGTCCTCTACTTGCGCCTTCCTGATCTCTTCCCAAATTGTCCAAGTTGGCCTAGTGATAGCATTCAGCTCGGCTACATCCGTTCATCGGGATAGTGCGTCAGCTACTGCATTCTGTCGACCCGGTCGATAGAGTATCTCGAAGTCAAACCCCATAAGTTTAGATACGAACTTCTACTGCTCGAGGGTAACAATCCTTTGCTCCAGTAGATGCTTAAGCGGTTGCTGGTCGGTAACAATCTGAAAACGTCGGCCTAATAGATAAGGCCTCCAGCACCTTACAGCCTCGACAACTGCCAGCATCTCCTTCACGTACACCGGTAGACCCAATCGTGTAGTGCCTAGTGCCTTACTGAGATAAGCTAAGGGTCGTCCCTCTTGCACTAGCACAGCTCCAATTCCAATGTCACTCGCATCGAGGTACATCACTCGCATCGGTGTGTACCTCGAACAAGACATCAAACCTGGGCATGGCGAGCACTGGCGTTGTAGTCATGGCTTCTTTCAGTTTCCCAAACGCCTCCTCGCTAGCTTCGGTCCATGTGAACCCGCCTTTCTTAGTCATCTCTGTCAGTGGTTTGGTGATGGTTCCATAATCCTTCACGAACTTTCGGTAGTAGCCCGTGAGTCCTAGAAATCCCCTCAACTGTGTGAGACTTGTCGGTTTTGGCCAATCGATCATAGCCTCAATCTTTCGTGGATCAACCTTCACGCCCTCGTGGGATATGAAGTGCCCCAGATATTTAACCATCTTCTGCCCGAATGAACATTTGGATGGCTTGATATGGAATGAGTTGGCCTCCAAAATTTCGAGCACTACTCTCAAATGCCCAAGATGTTCGTCCCACGATTTTGAATAGATCAGGATATCATCAAAGAATACCAGAATGAACTTACGTAGATACTCCTTGAAGATAGAATTCATAGCGAACTGGAAAGTGGATGGGGCGTTGCATAATCCGAATGGCATGACTAGATACTTATAGTGCCCCTGGTGCATACGAAATGCTGTCTTGGGAATGTCTGCTTGATGGAGTCGAACTTGATGGTAACCAGCTCTCAGGTCGAGCTTTGAGAAATAGCGTGACCCCGCTAACTCATCGAGCATGTCATCGACGCTAGGGATAGGAAATCGGTCCTTGATAGTTGCAGCGTTCAGAGCTCGGTAGTTAGTACAGAACCTCCACGTGTCGGCTTTCTTTTTGGCTATCAAGACTGGAGAAGAAAACGAACTCTTGCAATTCTGGATTAGTCCTGATTCAAGCATCTCGGCCACTTGCCGTTTGATCTCAGTTTTCTGAAAGTGAGCGTACCTATAAGGATGAACGTGTATGGCATGCTGCTCATTGATCAGTGGTATGCGATGATCGAACTCCCGGTGTGGGGGTAGTCCCTTAGGCTCGCCCAATACTCCCTCAAATTCCTTGAGAAGCTCGCACAAATCTCTCTGTTGTTGCTCCTCTTGGTCTATGTGTGCCTCATTTTTCTCTACGACTACTGCAAATATTTGGCCTCCACCACGCCAAACTTTCTCAATGCTCTTAAGTCCTACTTCCTTGGTACCTTTTTCATTGCCAGTACTCAGAGTGACTTGCTGACCTCCGGAGTTGAACTCAATAATTCCTGTTCGATAGTCGGTGGTCACCTTGCCTAACCCTTCGAGCCATTGTACTCCTAGGACAACATCCGGCCCCACCAAAGGTAAGGCATAAGGATCAGCCTTCACCGTAACTCTGCTGAACCTGATTGGCACCTTCTGGAAGGATTTAGTGCATTGCAGCCTCTCACCGTTGGCTACTCGTACCTCAAAAGGCTCGATCTTCGTGGTTGGTAAGTTCAGCTTCTGAGACAAGTCGGCATTGATGAAGTTGTGTGATGAACCGTTGTCCACGAGTACTGTCACCTTCCGATCCTTGACCCAGGCCGGCAATCGCATCGTTCGAGGCCCTCTAATCCCGGCCATTGCGTGCATCGAGATTTCTGCTTCTTCGTCGGGCCCCTCAACTTCAATATCCTGATGTGGTTCCTCCTCGTCCTCAGATCCTTCCTCATCAGGATTAGCAACTTTGATCACAAAAGCTTGCTTACACTGATG